CCTTTCCTTTCTTCCCCCTTCCTTCCTTCCCTCCTTCCTCCTCCCTCCCTTCCTTTCTTCCCCCTTCCTTCCTTCCTCCCTCCCTCCTTTCTTCCCCCTTCCTTCCTTCCTTCCTTCCTTCCTTCCTTTCTTCCCCCTTCCTTCCTCCTCCCTTCCTCCCTCCTCTCTCAAACTCCACTCCCTTGTAGCACTGATGGTGTTACCTAGTTGGGTCATGAAACGTCTGCACAAAACCCATATATGGCAGAAACCACCAAGATCCCCCCCTCCTCTCCACAAACCCCATTCTTTTCTAGCACTGATGATGTTATCTAGCTGGATAATGAAATGTCTGCAAGAAAACAACCAAATTCAGAGACCCTGCGGTCCTCCTCCTCCTCCTCCTCCCAGCATTGATGATGTTACCTAGTTGGGTCATGAAATGTTTGCAAGGAAACAACCAAACTCAGAGAATGTCGAGGACCCCACAGTTCTCCTCCTCCTCTCTTCCTCCTTCCTCTCTGCAAATCCCAGTCCTTTCTAGTACTGATGAGATTACCCAGTTGGGTCATGAAACGTCTGCAAGAAAACCACCCAGCTCAGAGAGCACCGAGGACCCCACAGTTCTCCCATATCCTCCTCCTCCTCCTCCTGTACCACTCCTTTCTAGCACTGATGATGTTACCTAATTGGGTCATGAAATGTCTGCAGGAGAGCAACCAAGCTCAGAGAGCACCAAGGAACCCACAGTTCTCTTCCTCCTCCTCCTCCTGTACCACTCCCTTCTAGCCCTGATGATGTTACCAAGTTGGGCAATGAAACGTCTGCAAGAAAACCAGCCAGCTCAGGGAGCCCCAAGAGACCCTCACAGCTAAGAGACCCCCTCAACCAGACATCAACGATCCGAAACCAACCCAGGGCCCCCCCTTCCTGGGGGGGGGGAAGAATTTGCTTGGCACCTCTGCCCTCCTTTCTCTCCCCAGTGGCCATTTGCCAGGGAAGATCCCTGGCAGGACCTGTTGGGCCAACAACGGGCGGCTTCCACACACCCACAAGAATCGTGTCTCGTCTCTGACCCTCCAGCCGTTCTCCTGCCTGCAAGAAACCTCACCCAGCCCGTTTCTCTCTTTCAGCGGCTTCCTCCCTTCTCCCGCTGAGGGTTACAGGGCGATTCCGGCCTAGGAGTGGCTCCTTGTGGCGTCTTAATGAATATTCTCATTAGCAAATGGAGAGCTGGCTGTGAGACCTTTGCTCAGCCTTCCTGGAAAATTGACGGGTGAGCCTAGATGAC